AAATAAATAAATAAATAAATTTAAAAAAAAAGATGGATGGAGGTGATAAGCAGGGGTGGCCATCTGCGCTTGATGCTCCCCTCCCCCAGCTGAAGATGGCCGGGAATCAACAAAGCAAATGTGGAGACTGCTCTCTGTGCTCCATTGCTCTTCTGTTCCTTACTAGAAAGGACTCCGATTTGAAGCAAAGGAGCCTCTCCATCACCTCAGACATACTTTGAATAAATTCTTTCCTTTTTACCAAGATATATGGCCTCCTTGCCAGATGTGGTGGTATACACTTATAGTCCCAGGACCCAGGATAAAGCTGAAATGCTGAAAGTTGGAGCCCAGGCCTAGGCTACATAATGAGTCCAAGGCCAACCTGAACTACACAATTTTGAGATACTCTCTCAAAAATTAACATATATATCCTCCTTTGAACTGGTCAGCAAGCAAAGGAACCTAAGCATATGAACCTTAAATGGCAAAGGGAGTTTCCTGGCCTCTTGGCGTCATGTACTGTACTATACTGTAAATAGAATCATGTTGAGAATATATGCTGGGGGCCGGGGAGATGGCTCAGTGGAATAAGCGCTTCCCTGGCAAGTGCAACGGCCTGAGTTCAATCCCCGGTTCCACAAAAAAAAAAACGAATAATTTTTTAGCAGTAACAATACACAATGTACTAACCATTGTTACTCGCCTAAAAAAAATAAATAAAATAAAATTTTAAAAAGAGAATATATGCTGGGCCCCCAGCAAACCCCAAGATGCTCTCTGACTCTCCCAGTGACCCCTCCACAGAAAAGTTTCAGTGTGGAGCAAAGCAAGCCTGCGATCAAGCCAGTGGCCTGCACAGCACTCTCTCCCTGTCACCAGATCCCTGCCTCAAGTCACCCATCACCTGCCATCACCCAAGACAGATATGTTGAGGGGCTTCCTACTATAGGCAGTCAACCAGGGAAGTGGCCTCAGGCTCTGCAGGTGGCAGCAATCCCTGTGACAGTGTCACTAGGGACCTAACTTAAGAAGGAAGTACATACAAGAGAGGAGGCTGGCTCCAGGGAAAACACGCCCCCCATTCGGCCAGCACAAGTGTGAGGAGTTACTGATGGCCAGAGTTCAAGTCGCTGAATTGGGTGGGACTGACATGACAGGTAACCTGAGGGAGAGGAGGCCCCAAAGCTCAGAGAAGACAACTTGTTCAGACCACCCAGTCGGAAAGGATTGGGAGCAAGCAAGGCTTTAGCTGTACTAGATCATGGGTGTGACCTGCTTATAAAACTGGACACTTCTGGTTCCAGTCTAGGGTTCAACCAACTGAGTCCTAAGAACTAAAGTGCTAGCTGGCAGGGGAGGAGCCCCCACAAATGAGCAAGATGGTCATCAGTTCTCCCCAGAAGTGCCTTAACTGATGGCACATACATGCACTGAGCTCAGCAACTGCTCCCATGGCCCCAGAAGCAGGATATGGTCCTGTGTGTCTATCTTGCAGAGGAGAGCTGAGGCTTTGAGAGGCTGGCCACTGCCTAAGGTCACAGAGCCTGGAAGGAGTTCCCATGGGATGGGACAGGGTCCCATCTGCTGGTACTGCTGCAGAGCTCAGCCTCAGGGCAGTGGAAGGCTATCAGTCCTCCCTGGGCTACCCCACACACTCCAGGGACATCTTAGGGAAGGGAGGCTCACTTCATCCTTCAACCAAGCCAAGCCAGAAAACAAGCAGAAAGAAGCCAAGGAGTCGGATCCTGAGGCAGAAAGTCTCCAGTCACAGGCACTAAGATGGGGGAACTGGAGCCCAGGTGGATAAGTTTCCTACATCCAGGGAGGGAGCTGAGCAACAGCCACACAGGGAAAGACACTAGGAGAAAGTCCTACTAGTCCCTGAAGGATAAGAGACCCCTATATCCAGCTCCTGGGGAGCCCAGCATCAGGGCTCCTGGTGGTGGGCAGCATCCTAAGTCCAGCTTCGAGTCTAGGAAAGGGGCTTAAGGACTATCGTCATCACAAAGCCACCAGACTTACTCCTGCCCCTGCCCTAGTCCCAGGGAAAGGACCCTGTATTACGTTGGCGGGAGGGGGCTCAGCCGCAGGAACCCCTTGAACCAGTCAGCTGCTGAGTTTCCAGCCTCCTCCCAACCTTTGGGTGGGGACGAGGGGGCTGGGGTTGACTCCTTGGGGGTGGGGAGAACCCAGCCTGGGACTGCCCAGGCTTCTGGCTGGGCTAAACCTGAAAAGCCAGTTTCATCCTAGAATCTTCTCCAGGCTCCAACAGGAAGTAGGGGGTGGGGGGTGGGGGGGACACGCGCGCTCGTTTTCCATGCATAGGACCTTCTGGGTTTAAGGGCAGGCCTTGGACGGAGGAGCCCCTGTCCATTCCTTCCCCACCCGGCAAGGCAGACAGCGGGACCTCCCACGAGCCCTGAGGACCTGGGGTTCGCTGTCATCCTTCCCAAGCCCCCCCCCCCCGGAGGGGGGGCGCTGCTTCAAGGCAACAGGCTGTGGCCTCAGGCTCAGCCCCAGCCAGCCCTGCAGGCCCCCGCGCAGGGTGGGGTCTCTGTCTCTGGAAGTAGCTTGCAGTCTACCCAGACTTCCAGTATTTAAGGACGGCTCGGGCAGCGGGGAGGGTAGGGTCGGGCCCCAGCTGCTGCTGTTACTCCCATCCCCGCAAGGACCCGGCCGTCCCGCCCTCCCTCGGAGCTGGAGTTGAGGACACCTTCTGCCCGCGGCCGGGAAGGAAGGCGCAGGGAGGCCGCACGGAGGGCTGGGCCGCCCGACTCGGAGCCCTCGGGCTCCGGACCCTCCCGAGCTGGTCCGTCCGCGGTCAAGCGGCCCGGACGTGCTAATCTGGCCACGGGCTATTTTTGCAGCGCACAGAGTCAGGAATCCGGGCTGGGCCGCCGCAGCGGGCGCCCGGGAAACTCCGCGAAGGGAAGTCCGGCGCCTGGAGCGGGTTTGCGCCCGGATCCGGATCTGAATCCGGACACGGCCGGGCTCGGCGGAGACAGCCCTGTAACCGCGCGGCCGGGACCCTGCACCCGCCCGTCACTCACCGCCGCCGCCGAGCCGGGGGTCCTGGGCGTGCGCAGGGGCCGCTACTACTGGCCGGGAGGGCGCCCGCGCCGAGTCGCCGCCCGCCCGCCCGGGAATGCCAAGGGGCGAGGGGCGTGCGCCGGGGGCGGGCCCGACGGGAGGGGCGGCCGCCTGACTCAGGGTTCAGGAATGCGCGCCGCCTGCTGCGGCGCCTCCTCCGGGAAGGCCGCTGGCTTTGCTCTGCCCCGGGACCGCTTGCGGAGACACCTGTGGCCGCTTTCGGGAGGATCTAGGAAAACTTGGTGGTCAGCATCGGCCCTGGCTCCTCAGCTGCTCCAGAACGAGTCCTGGTCTTGGCGCAACTTGTGCCTGAGCTGAGAAAGTGAGGGATCCTCCAGTCTCCTAAAAACCAGCCCACAATCAGAAATAGCAACCCAAACCTGTAATTCCAACACTCTGGGAGGCTGAGGCAAGAGGGTCGCAAATCTGAGCCCTGCCTGCGCAATTTAGCAACTTAGACCCTGTTTCAAAATAATAAAGGGGATCGCCCTCTTTCTCTTCAACGAGGCGGCCGAGCGGACGCAGACATGCAGATCTTTGTGAAGACCTTGACGTGCAAGACCATCACCCTCGAGGTTGAGCCCAGTGACACCATCGAGAATGTCAAAGCCAAAATCCAAGACAAGGAGGGCATCCCCCCTGACCAGCAGCGTCTGATATTTGCCG